CACTGCACTCCAGTCTGGGTGACAGAGTGAGACTTCAACTCAAAAAAAAAAAAAACCCTACATTTGTTTCTCCAGTCTTTATCACCTTGGCAAATATTATTTCTTGTGCCCAGAACATTCTTTTTCCTCTTCTCCCCCTTAGAAATTCCTACCCCTGAGCTTCTGAGTTTCCATGCCCAATCCTGGATCTCATCACACAGTATGGAGATTATTCTCTCCCTTGATTTTGGACTCCTAGAAGGGCAGTAGATATATCCCATTCAATGCTGTGCTCAGCATGAGAATGGACTCACAGTAGGTACTCAGTAAGCTTCTGCTGCATGAGAAAGCAAAGAAGTATAGCAATCTGGCTAGGTTAGGAAATAAAGGTCAGGAAAATAGGGACATGGAGCTCAAACTTCACCTGGTGACCTGTCCAAAGTACTTATTTTGTGAAGAACCCTGGTCTCTCTCTGGTGTGTATTTGTACGTGTGTGTTTCTCAAAGCAGGATAAACCATCTTTAAATAACGCCATCGGGTAGGTAGCATGATCCTACTTTCTCATTCCTTTCAAAGTTTCTGATTTGGCTGGAGAAAACACAGCCAAGGTGACTGATCTCACTTTAAATTAATGACTGCTGGCCAGGCATAGTGGCTTAGCCTGTAATCCCAGCACTTTGGGAGCCCGGAGGTTCGAGACCAGCCTGACAACTTGGTGAGATCGCATCTCTACAATAAATCACAAAACCTAGTCGGGAGTGGTGGCATGAGTCTGTAGTTACAGCTACTTGGAAGGCTGAGGCGAAGGATGGCCTGAGCACAGCAGGTTGAGGCTGGGGTGGCTGTGAGCGTGCCACTGCACTCCAGCCTGGGCGACAAAGAGTGAGACTCCAACTAAAAAAAAAAAATTAAAGACTGCTAACTTCAAGTGGGTCCTAAATGCTGTCCATCACCCAAAAGTTCTCCTGTTCCATTCACTCACTAGACTATTTTATGTCTTCTCCTCTCATTTCAAACTCCCTCTTGGCTGATGACCCTTCTTCCTATTGCACTGTGAACACTGACACAACCAAAAAGCCTTCCCTGAGTTCCCACCACAACCTCTCAAGTTGGTACTCATTTACAGATGAACTGTGCTCCCAGCTAAGGCCAAACTCTTTTCATTTGGGCAATAAATCCCATTCTTTCTTGTTTACTTAAAAATCACTCCAGTAATTCTATCCTCTCTCCCAATTCACCAATTTCTCCCTTTCTACTACTCCATTTCTGTCAGCTTACAAACATGCTCTAATTTCTCTCATAAAAAGGAAAAAATTTAAAAACTCTCAAATCATCTTCTAATTTCAGCTACTACTCCATGACTCCCTTTTCTAGGAAAACTTCCAAAGAGTTGTCTTAACTAATTCCTCACCTCCCATTTTCCTTGAATCTATTCCAGTCAGGCTCGTGTCTAGCACTCGTAAAACTGTTTAAGTTCACCAAAGACCTTTATTTACTTAAATAGTATAACACAGCTTATTATGCCCTCCCCCTAAACACCCTCCTCACTTGGCTTCCAGGATATCATTCTCTTTTGTCTTTTTCTCCTATCTTAGTGGTCATTCCTTCTCAGTTTCCTCTGCTGGTCCCTTCCCATTCCCCCAGTCTCTTAATATCTGCATGCCCAGGGCTCAGCCCTTTCCATTAACATACATTGTTCCAGCCAGCTCGGTGGCTCAGCCTGTTATCTCCCCGCTTTGGGAGGCTGCGGTGAGTGGATTGCCTGAGCCTGCAGGTTCGAGATCTGCCTGGGCAACCTGGCGAGACCTCATCTCTACAATAAATAAAAAAATTAGCTGGGCGTGGTAGTGCGCGCCTGTAGTTCCAGCTACTTGGAAGGCTGAGGCAGGAAGGATCACTGGAGCCCAGCAGTCTGGGTGACAGAGTGAGACTCCAACTCAAAAAAAAACAAAAACAAAAAAAATATACATTGTCCCCTGGCTTTAAGTACCATCTACATTCACTGCCCCAGTCCAGGGAGACTCTAAATTCCACTCTATACCCAACTACCTATTCAACACCTCCCCCTTGGATATTAACAGGCATATAAAAACATAACATGCTTAAAATAAAAATCCTAAACTACACCAATCTGTTCTTTTCAGTCTACTCCATTTAAGAAAACTGGGATTCCATCTTTCAAGTTGCTCAAGTCAAAATAATTGGAGTCATCACTTGACTCCTCTCTTTACCTTATACCCACATTCACGCTCACAAAATCCAGTTGGCCCTATCTCAAAATGTAACTAAAACCCAGCCACTTCTCATCACTTCCACTGTTAAATTCTACTTAAAATGTAACTAAATTCTGCTTAGATTCTAGTTAAAATGTAACTAGAATCCAACCACTTCTCAACACTTTTACAATGGTCCGAGTTACTGCAACTTATTGCAATAACCTCCTAAAACTAACACCACATACTTTCAACATATCAGTCAGAGTGATCTTTTTACAATTTAAGTAGAACCATGCCACTTGATTTCTCAAACCTCCCAGTGTTTTCCCATCTTACTTGATGGAAAAAAAGTGGGAGTGAACCATGTGGATAGCTGGGAGAATCTTCCAAGCAGAGTGCAAAGCAAGTACAAAGGCCCTGAGGTGGAAAAGTGTGTTTTAGGGAATAGGAAGATTTTTGGTACGGTTTGTTTCTGTTTTGCAGAGACAGAGTTTCACTATGTGTCACTTTAAGAAAAACCTTAAGAAAATTGTAGCACAGGGACATGGCAAAAATAGTGAAAGTGGTATTTAAATGCCTGAAGTTTAGGAACTCTCTTAGAATAATGTTGCCAGATAAAATATAGGACACTCAGTTAAGTTTGAACTTTAGAAAACAATGAGTGATTTGTTTTAGTGTAAGTATGACCCAAATATTGCATGGGTTACACACTAAAAATTTGTTGTTTACCTTAGATTCTAATTTAATTGGGTATTAAAACTCATGATAAAGCCTATTCAATCTGGCCACCCCTTACCTCTTTTTTTTTTGAGTTGGGAGTCTTACTCTGTTACCCAGGCTGCATGCTCATGACCACTGCAACCTAGACCTGGTGGGCTCAGGTGATCCTTCTGCCTCAGCCTTCCAAGTAGTTGAACCCCTTACCTTTTTGAACTTATCCCCCTGTATTCCCTTCTTGCTCATTTAACTCCAGCCAAAATGACTTATCTCCTATTCCCTCATGCCTATAATCCCAGCACTTTGGGAGACTGAGACAGGACTATTTGACACTAGGAGTTTGAGAACAGCCTGGGCAACATAGTGAAACTGTCTACAAAAACCAACAATTTTCTATTCCCTGAACACACTTACCATCTCAGGCACTTTACACTTGCTTTTCACTCTGCTTGGAAAATTCTTCTCCCAGATATCCACATGGTTCACTCCCTCACCTTTTTCAGGTTTTTGCTCAAATGTCAGCTTCTCAGTACAGCCTTGCTCGACTACTCTATTTAAAAAGACAACTTCTCTCAACCCTCATCCCTGATTTTTCTCCACCATACTCATTACTATCTAACATACTGTTCACCTTACTTATGTTGTTTATTACCTGTCTCTAGCTACTAGAGTTCCACGCAAGCAGAGATTTTTATATGTTCTGTTCACAGTTGTATCCTCAGGGCTAAGAACAGTGCTGGCATACAGAAGTGGCTCAAAGGGTGATTTGTTGAATGAAGAATACGAGAAAGTCTGTTGTTAGAGTGCCTTCAGTACAGAAGACTTGCTAATCCCCTTTTGGGGATCAACACCTTCAAAGGTAAAAGTATCAAGTCAGAATTTAGTAACATTAAATGGAAATGTTTTGCTTTCATTTTACTTTTTGATTACTTTTTATTTAAGATATTCGGTATTCGGTCTCACTGTTGTAACAAAATTATTTTTAATTTAATTCATGTTTTTAAGATTAAAAGGTGAATTATTTTACAGAAAAAAACATAAGAAATGAAAATAACAGTGCAACTAGCACAGGGACATGGCAAAAATAGCTAAAGTGGTATTTGAACAACTTAAGTTTAGGAACACTCTCAGTGTTGCCAGATAAGACACTTTATTTTGTTTTTCTAAAGTTCACTTAAGTCTGAACTTTAGAAAAACAACGACTGATTTGTTTTAGTGTAAGTATGACCCAAATATTGCACGGGTTGCGCACTAAAAAATTATTCGTTGTTTATCTTAGATTCTGATTTAATTGGGCATTAAAATTTTTAAAAAATTTTTGCTAAATCTGGCAATCCTATCTTAAGAGAACAAATACAGTGCACTCCGCTCGTCGCTTCTATTTCATCTGTTAGAACAAGCTAGAACTCTTGTCCTATCTACCAACTGGGTGGCTTTAATGCCCCAACAACTGTGTCTCTGTGGGCGGGAACTGAGACCAGATGTCCTAAAAATCAAAGAGGTAAGGACCCACAGTGCACTGTAGAAGGGGAACGGCCCTGGCAGCTCAGTTGCAGGCCAGCCGCATCAGGCGGGAGGGCTGTAAGCCCAGCTCCCGGGCCCAGCCTCTCTCTCTTGTCACCTGCGTGGCAGCCACTTTCCGGCCCTTACCAATGTTGCCTTCGACGGAGAGCCTTCGGGGCCCGAGCCCTGCATGCAGGCCCCGGGAGGAGAGCGCGCCCTCGAGGGGGCTATTGGCCATGGAACTGAAGCGTGCTCGAAGACGACTTACAAAGAGACGGCTCGCAGCCATCCCGCCCACGCGTCGCACAGGTATCACTTCCGCCGAGAGCACTTCCGGCCTAGGAACCGCAGTTCACGCGCTCCAGCGCACCTCTGTCGTCAGATCTCCAGGCAGGAAGTGGGTGGGACTGAACTGACTGGGAGGGCGGGGCCCAAGAATCCGCGGTGTTCTCGCGATGTTGGTAGAGACCCGTCGTGAGAAGGCTCTTGCAATGCCGGTGTGCGGGCGAGTTAGCTGATAACTGGAATTGCCACGGTGGGAGCAGCTCTTCCGTTTTTATCCTTTGGACAATAACATTGTTAAAGAGATAACTCTACAGCCCCAACACCTGCGCATTTTTGTGTAACTGTAAAATAAATTTTATAACTAAAGATAAATAAAAATAATTGTGATTTCCAAAGAAGCTTCTTTTCCTCCAGGTGTTTGTTGTCTGGTTTTTATTCTAATGTGAGAAGACAGTGGATGGTTTAAAGTAGGAAAATGACTCGATCTGATGATTTACACAAATTAACTTTTTCCCACTCCCTGCAAATTCCTGCAAAGGTTGGCACGTTATTGGCTAAATTAACAAATTAGGTAATCAGTTACTCCCCATCTCTTTTGTCGCTTGAATAGATAAATATTCGCATATATAAATGTTCAAATTAACCGATTTGTGTAATAGCCCCAAATCCCATCAGGATAAAGTAGTGGAGGCTCAGGGTTGTGCCTGGGAGATTTAAACCCGGTGGACTGGGTTCTGTGTGGGTGTGAACAGCGGTAGGTGGGTGAAGTGTAGGGCTTGCTGAGGAGGATTCAGAATGGGACTTTTAAAGGGATGAAGAGAACCAGGGTAGAGACTTGCTGGGGTATAAAACTAGAGTCCTGCTCTCAGGTGGAGAGGGGTGTTCTGCCAGGGAGAGGTACCTCAGCAGCTGCCATCAGGTGAAGCCTGGCTGGCTTTGTCCTGCCACATCCCATCTCATAATAGCCTCAGAAGTAATGATTTAGAAATGCCAGAGAGTACTTCCAATTCCTATCAAATTGCAGGAGTCACCTGGTCTTACTGTGTTCAGGCAGCACACAGATGTGGAAGGTTTTAGGAGACTGGCATCTGATTGCAAGAGGATTGGGGAGAGCCCGTGGCATGGACACCTGCCTTTAATCTGTTTGCATAAAAAGCATAGGATCTTTTTCTTTTATTGGTGTTTATATAGGATGGTTGAAGTCATGCTTATATATTAAGCACATCGTTTTTATTTGTTTTTGAATTGGAGTCTCACCCTGTCACCCAGGCTGGAATGCAATGGCAGGCTCACAGCCACCCTAATGTCAACCTGCTGGGCTCCGGCGATCCCTCTGCCTCAACCTTCCAAGTAGCCAGAACTACAGGTGCGTGCTACCACACCTGGCTCATTTTTGATTTATTGTAGAGATTAGGTCTTGCCAAGTTGCCCGGGCTGGTCTTGAACCCATGGTCTTAGGCAATCCACTTCCCCCGGCCTTCCAAAATACTGGGATTACAGGCTGAGCTACCGAGCCTGGCTAGGCACGTTATTTCTAGAGGACTGAAGATTTGTTTAGAATAACCTGGGCTGGGCTATCAGAGCTGCTGAGGTCCATCCCATTCCCACCCCCACTCCCACAGCCACCTCTGTGTAGAAATACTGCTTACATTTCTTTACCTATAGAAACTCTGACTCGGAGAATATTCATCCAAACTTTTGAGAGGCTCTTTGTGTCCCCAGAGTCTCACTGTCTCAGGGTCGTTGTGAAGGTTAAAGGAGAAAGTTGTTTGCAGGTTAAGGTGTAGACAGGCACTAACCAGCTCCTAAAAGTTACAACTCCTAAAAGCTATTATTAAACAAACAGAAAATGTTATAATGAAGTATATATGTAGTGAGGAAAAAAGCATGTATTGTAAGTGCACAGTAAGATAAAACGTTCACAAACCAAACATTCCCATGTTACCTGAATTCAAATAGGTCATATCTAGCATCCCCAGAGCCTCTCATGTCCCCTGCTCATTATTATTCCTCAAGAGTAACCAATAGCTTGACTTCTAACAGCAGAGGATGATTTTGCCTGTTGTTTGTCTAAATGGAATCACATAGTAAGTACTTCTTTTACTTAGCATATTATGTGTCAGGTTCATTCAGTTTGTATGCAGTATTTGTAGTTCATTCATTCTCATTGCTGTATAGTATTTCACTATGTCACTATACCACAATGTATTTGAGCCATTCTACTATTGATTGACATTTGGGAGTCTCTAGATTTGAGCTACAATGAATAGTGTTATGATGAATATTCTTGTACGTGCCTTTTGGTAAACAAAGTATGCATTTCTCTTGGGTATATACCTGGGAGTGGAATTATTATGGTAAGAGGAGGGGGGAGAGAGGAAGTAGGGGAGGAAAGGAGGGAGAGAAAACGCCCTTCCTGAGGGTGCTTTTCCTTTCTTGGTTAATCTGGGGGCAAAATATAATCTAATCCTTAATGACAAAGGACCCCATAGGAACCTTAAGCCCACTATGACCTTCCTTCATGTAAGTGACAATGACATTGTGCTTGAACTACTCATATGTCACATCCTATAATTTTTGTGTCATAACTCTTTGTGTTTATGTTCCCTAGCATACTGCCCTTGAATATGAGGATTTACATCACTGAAAGTCTGTGTTTCTTAACACAACACCCCCAACCCAGAGAGTCATCTGCCTTCATTCTTACTCACGTTCAAGGAAAAGGAGACAAGATGACATAATAGAAGAAGCACTTGCTTTGGTGTCAAATACACTTGAATTTTAATCATGGTTCTGTGTAATCTTCAGCAAATCTCTAATTTCTCTGAGTCTCAATTTCCTCATCTGTAATATGGGGATAATAATAGTAACTATCTCACAGAGTTACTGTGTGGATTAGAAATAATGTGTGAAAAGTCTTTAGCACTGTGTATGAGACAGACTAGAAAGAAAAAGCCCCACACAGACAAGTAAGGCTTGTAGGTTTTTAATGTCTCATGACTGTAAAAGAGCAGTCTCAAGGGATCCTTAGAAAAAAACTGTTCTGACTTTAGAAGCACTTCCTGTGGACAATGGAGGGTCCTGCTTCATCATACTCAGGCTTGCTGATCCACATCTGCTGGAAGGTGGAGAGAGAGGCCAGGATAGAACCCCCGATCCACACTGAGTACTTCCGCTCTGGGGGAGCAATAATCTGCAAAGAACAAATGTGGGAGGATCACAGTCAGTCTCCAAGGGAATAGGCAAAGTGGTTCAAAAATGAACTCACTCTGAAAAAAGGAAGCCTCTGTGGTCATAAAGGAACAGTATAAACATGGTGGCAGTTTAGAGTATTGCTCAAAATCTTCACTTCTCCACCCTTCCTTTTTCTCCTCCAAGGAAAGAATGCACTGCTTCTCCCTGTGACTTTGGGTTGAGCCAAGTGTTTGCCTTGACCAATGGGACGTTAGCAGATGTGACATAAATGGGCTTGAAATGTGCTTGTGTACTTGGGCTTGCTCATTTGTGCCTCTGCCATCTTCATGAAAGGAACTTCCTTTGAGGAACTACTGGTGCTTCAACCTAGCCTCTTTCAAGAGAGATATAGACTTAAACTTAGCAGGGTAGACCTGCATTGAAGCAGCACTGCCTAGCCAAGCTTGACCTTGATCAGCTGACTCCCTGCTGAACTGCAGATGCATGAGCAATAAATGCTTGTTGTTATGTTCCCCTGAGATTTCATAGTTGTTACTCAGCAATAGCTGAACAATACAAACATCTATAGGAGAGCCCTGTTTATGTTCTTGCCCAGAGTTTGGATGCAATGGTAGATTAGGCTGGGTTTCCTTCATTCCTAAGTCTATACCAGTCTGCTAAAATCCTATTTTGAGCTTCATCTGTCAATGGCCAATTATATCTGAGAAATTCTCAAATTTATACATACATTATTCATCCTTTCTTCTAGGAGTCTTGAGCTTAGCCTTTAGAAACTGGTTGTCATGTCAAACAACTTTGAACTCCACCTACAAGTAGATCTAAAAGGACTATGACTCAAACTAATTTTTCAGTTTCTGAAGAGTCTAAGAATTCAGTGCTAGAGCAAATCAGACAATGAATTGATTTTTTTTGTTTCCTTAGACTCTCTCTACACATTGTCTAAATTGCAGATACCATAGGATTGTAGAATGAAAAGGATTTTTAGAAGCTATCTTTTTAGGCTGGGCTCGATGGCTCAGTCTGTAATTCCAGCACTTTGGGAGGCCGAGGTGAGTGATTGCCTGAGCCCGCGGGTTCAAGACCAGTCCAAGCAACTTGGTGAGACCTCATCTCTACAAAAAAAAAAAAAAAAAAAATAGCAGGATACGGTAGCATGCGCCTGTAGTTCTGGCTACTTGGAAGACTGAGGCAGAAGGATCACCTGAGCCCAGCAGGTTGAGGCTGCGGTAGTCATGAGCATGACACTGCACTCCAGCCTGGGCCGTGGAGTGAAACTCCAACTAAAAAAAAAAAAAGTTATCTTTTTAAAGGTCACCCAGACACTTCATAGACAGATACTTTAAGGACTGGGAATACACAGCCACTAAGAAGGAAGCATTTTTATTGCTGGGCACTTCTAGTTGACATGGCTTGTCTTAGTCAGGCGGTCCTAAATCTCAGCCCTTCCTCCACTACAAATCTCTTCTTTTTTTTTGGAGTTGGAGTCTCACTCTGTCACCCAGACTGGAGTGCAGTGGCACCCTCCAGGCCAGTGCAGCCTCGACCTGCTGGGCTCCGGCTATCCTTCCACCTCAGCCTTCCAAGTAGCTGGAACTACAGGCGTGCGCTATCACACCCGGCTAATTTTTTTATTTATTGTAGATATGAGGTCTCACCAAGTTGCCCAGGCAGGTCTCAAACCCGCGGGCTCGGGCAATTCACTCACCTCAGCCTCCTAAAGTGCAGGATTACAGGCTGAGCCACCGAGCCCGGCTCCAAATCTCTTCTTGCATGTCTTCGAGGCTTGCCTTATCTTCCCCAATTCCTCCATGCAAATTCTGCTGTCCGTTTGATTAGGGTGCTCAAACAAACACAAATCCCTGAGAACCTTTGCTTATTCTACTTCCCCTGC